AAAGTCATAAAGAAAGATTGTTTTGAGGGTAATATTAACATTGCCTAAGTATTTGCAGTTTCCTAAGTCCCAAAAATAAGGTTTGCACGAGCAACCTAGTCTTTCCTTTACGCATAATTACATTTGCACATTCAAAACACATTTACTGTGCAGACMCAATGGCAAGTGATACAGTTTTTCTGATGAATAAAGCTTTCTTATAGAAACTGTTAGTGTTTAAAATAAATGCACCTCAACCTAAAAAGATGAATAATACTTTCTCAAAAATATGACAATACTTCCTAAGAAGTCCAATCCTAATCACTTCCTCAGATGTTTTGTGAGTTTTCCTATTGTCTTCAGCAGGTAAATTAAATTAAAATAATCAAGTGATTATGCAACCAATCATTGCATAATAACACACACAGAGTAGCACTATTCACACAGTCATGTCTGGAAAAGGTTACTTTGTGCATTAAAACAACATCATAGTAGGGCACAAATGCCAAAATCAGATATTGTTCCAAGGCAGATTTTTGTTCCCAGAAGCTGAGGTCCTCAACCTTTGCTAGATGAACCCTACTCAAAGAACCATGACCTTTCCAGTCCACTCTAAATCAAGTGGTTTTAAACCTTTTGGGTTTCAAAGCCTTACAATATCCTTTACAGTGACACAGCTATGCCTTTACTGAACAAACTGGCAAGCTACTAAATGTTGCCTTATTATTTAAAATCAAGTAATGAATGCAATAATATTTACCTAGAACAATGTGCAATGTCGCAGTCACTGCATGTTTAATACCATAGAGTGTATGGGCCAAAATATTGGTGGTACCTGTGAAAGTGAACACAAACTGCTGTAAAAACATGAGAGATACAGAATAGAAAGAACAAATATATACAGCACTTTTAATTACTGCATTTAAAAAAAGAAAAAAAAAGTCCCCCCATAAATTCTCTTGCTAGCAGCAGAACTTGTCATTCTGAAGTACGGAAGAGAGGAAAAGGAAAGACTATCACATTTCAAACAAGAGGCATTCAATAGCCAAATAAGCCATTTTAAAGTGTCATGTACCAAATTGATCAAAATTGTTTATCCCCAAAYTCTGCTATCTTGGATGTCATGCTAGTGGTAGGAAAAAATACTGAATGTGCAAAGGCTGATGTACATAATTACAAAGCTCTAAAGGATCATGTAATTCTTATTCAGAAATTTATCTTTGGGTTTTTTTTCAATAATTTCTCTAAATAAAAAAATGTAAGATAACTGGGAATCTCACAGATCACCTGTAAAGTCCTTAGAGCACCTTAGTCTCTGAAAGTAATTCAGGACTTCATGGAAAGCTGTCATAACATCAGAGAGAGGAGCTCTGAGTTCCYACTGCATGAAGGAAGGGAGTACATCTATTATGGCAACAGATATCCAAAACCTGCAAAACCCCCTGCATTTGGCCCAAAAWACAATTCTACAAGTGTATGCCCAATATTATTTCATGTTTGAATGACTCCAGGTATTTAACTTSCAGATCCAACTAGCTCTGCTTTGCCAGTGAAGGTAGGTAAGATGTAACTCAAAAACACTCAAATATTTCCTTCAATCAAARTCACACAGCTCTTATCAACAGCTATGGGGATCTCTCCAAAACAAAGGAAATCACACACACAAGCAGCAGATCACTACAAGTCAATGATTACTTCCTGTAAGTSAGAACAGGGAAGCTGTTATTCTGAAAAAAATATTTTACTTCTCCCTAAATATCAAGCTAATAAAAGAGCACAAGGAGGAATATAGTCTAGAAAATCAACCTTGGTATGAGTTTAAGCTGCAATCCTCATTTAAGAGTAATTTATCAATGCAGATGGCAGCAAGATGCCAAATGACCAGGGCTGAAATCGGTACCAATCTTCAAACTGWCTTTAATGAGACTTAAATCTCATTCCTACTAAACAGGATAGGCACAAGTAATTGCATCCCTCTCTTAAATCTTTGGAGCTCATTAACATTTCCAGAAGTAAACAAGGCAAAATCCCACCCTTTCACGACTCCTAGAGAGATAAAACCAACTCTCTATGTTCAAAAACGTTAAGTACAACATCCACCCTTCCACAAGTTGAAGAACCAGAACAAGCACTGTTTTTGTGGGAGCAAGGACCATCATATTCTCTAAAAACYCCACTTAGTACATGCCTAACAGCATTTTTGATCCCAATAATGACTGAATAATGTACCTCATTAATTAAGTCCTATATAAGCACGATGCCAGACAAAATAACCCAAACCAAAACAAATAAGCAAACCCAAAACACAGCCTATAAACAAAGCAAAACCTATAAAAGTTTACCAAAGTAATAACTCAAGCTTTTCTGATTTAAGTGGTGATTCAACAAGAATGGATTTAATGCCATTATTCATACTCCCAAGTAATCTTTTCCCCTGTGTAAGCTCAAGATATTTACCAATAACTGCTGTTCCCCTGAACACTATTATATTACTTCAGAAATTAAAAACCTTTGATGCCCATGACTTGCACCCCTCACACATTAGTCAGTCACAATTTTAGTTCTCACTCCAGCTACTCAATTTAATGTACAAAGGTTTCACCCATTCAATTCCATCTCTATTACCAGCATTTTTTTACAGAAACAATGAARATGTTAGTACTCCAAAAATGCAATACTGTTCAAAATATCAATCTATTTTCCTGACATTACAAAYGACTTCATCCAACCTCCTTCCCACCAAAAGTGCAAAAGCATCTCAGTAAGAACAGAGTATCGTCAGGTTATGTAAAGCATGACTGATGAAGGTACCAAACAGAAATCGTRGAGAAAAAAAATTGTCCTTGGAAGTGCAAGCACTTCTGCAGTACAATTAACTTAATTAACCAGACAACATGAATATTCATAAGGTTGTTAATGTCTCCCCCATCCAAACAGATAAATGTGATGTAATGACTTCCTAGTCAAGCATAGCTAAAATTCTGATGAAAACTGCACCAACATTTTGGKTCTTTGCCTGAAATATCACAGAAATTAACAGCCCCCCAGTAATASTTTATTTTCTGAATTAATTGGAAATCATGAATTTATTTAAATGAACCTCTTTGGACCTAAAGGTTCACAGGCATCAGATAAAGATTGTCTCTTGTTCTGTAACAACTGGATAGCTTTTTTAATGTCCTTCCAGTTCCCCCTCCCCTTTCTCTGTTTCCCCCTCCGTACAGTTCCTTAGCAGTAGTTCCCATAGCAACAAACACTCTTGCTAATGGCCAGCAGTACAACTGCAGGCTTCCCCACATCTCAGCCATTTGAWTTGGACCACAATAAGGCAGCTCAGTGGAGTATTTTAGTAAAAACATACTCCCCTCTGGACCTCTCTCTTCAGGAGGTAAATTGTTTCAAGAGCATCTCCTGCCCATCAAGATGATTGGAAGTTCAAAACGCTGTCTTAACTACTTATTATAGAGGATAAAACCAGATTTTAAGCCACTCACAYAATACTATCCTGTAACACAGTTGCTGTTTCTACTTGGCTGGAAAATCCTAATGATTTTGTACAATGGATTTATGGTGAGGAAGAAAAAAGTTGACCAACCAGAGTTCCATCTTCATGGGAACAAGTATCAGACTCACCTGTTTCCTAACTGACTACCTCATGGAATATCAGCACAAACAAACAATAGATCATTTTAAAAAACTTTTAGGAGTTCTCACAGTATCATTTTATAAATTGTTCTTATCCTCTTTTAACAAAAATCTACACCATTCTGTGTAAGAAACTGTACTCTTTTGAGTTTACAAGTCCTTTYTGATCATTACATATTTGTCTTAAACTGAGGAGAGTAAGCACCAGTGACAAGGMACAGTGACCTACCACAACATGGAGTCAGGTGCTGGAGAGATTCCATCCCAACACCATCGAGATATTCAGAGTAACTGAGCAGGTAAGTCATTGAGAACTTCTGTTCTCAAATTCATTATCTTCATGTCTTCGAGACTGATGCCTCTTCTACCAAGGGTTTTTTAATTTGAGAAAAAGCTAATGTAATCTTGCCCCTTTACAAGGAACTAATCTCTGTTTACATACTGCTCTTCTATGCGCAAACCAAGTCAAAGCATTTAAAAATCTGCTTGATCAGTTCAAAGTGACTTGCTCCGTTTTTTGTAGAAAATTAAACCAATGATTTGCTGTTCTACTGACTGTATGAATCTTTTCCTTGTTTAAAAACATCTGAGAAACTATGTCAAATAGTCTTAGCTAACATCCACACCACAGAGTACTGTTCTACTTCAAAAATCCTCCTCATTTCAAGAGAAGCAATTCATATACCAGTCCACAATCAAACCTGACTGTACTAATTTGTGCTGGTTTTGGCTGGGGCAAAGTTAACTTTCTTTGWAATGGCTGCTATAGGGCTGTGTTTTGGATTTGTGCTGAACACAGGGTTGATAACACAGAGATGTTTTTGTTACTGCTGAGCAAGGCTTACACAGAGCCAAGGCCTTTTCTGCTTTTTGTACTGACACACTGGTGAGAAGACTTGGGGTGCATGGGGGGCTTGGAGGAAACACAGCCAGGACAGGTGACCCAAACTGACCAGAGGAACATTCCAGAYCATRTGACACCATGCTGAGTATATAAAACGGGAGAAGGTGGGACATTTGGAGTGATGGCATCTGTCTTCCCAAGCCACTGTTAGGTGTGATGGGCCYCTGCTCTCCTGGAGGTGGCTGAGCACCTGTCTGCCCATGGGAAGAAGCRAATGAATTCCTTGTTWGGCTTTGCTGGTGTGCACAGCTTTTGCTTTTCCTGTTGAACTGCCTGTATCTCAATCCAAGAGTTTTCCAGCTTTTACCCTTCTGATTCACTCCCCGATCCCACTCCAGGGGGAGTGAGCAAACAGCTGCATGGGGCTTGGCTGCTGGCTGGGGTTAAATCATAAAAGTTCTTGTTAAAGCCTTCCTGCTGGGCAAAGTTATACTCCAAGAAGGGCAAATACAAACACTGTGAGTAGAAGGGCAAATGCAGAAACTGGAAGGAGAAGGGACACACAAACCCCCCAATACWAACAAACAAAAACACACCATGAGATACAAGTTAATAAAAGAGCAAGAGGACTCTTCAAGAGAGACAGATTTTCATGTCTGTAAAAGTAAAGAAGAGAGAAAGCACTTCTGTGTGCACTTTTTTTAATATAATGCACAAAATGTATTTCTGGGCCACCATTTTAAAATAGACCCTAAGCATGAATCCAAGTGAGAACCCTGCCAAGGAAACTGGAGATGTAAGAAAGGAAAATCTAGAAAGCAAAGTTTTCATTTGGTATAATTTCTGTCAGGCAATGAGGAYGAAATTTGATCTTTGCATGGATCAGATGAAGCTTACTTTAGTTTCATTTTTTCTCAGCTTCTTCCTTCAGGCAAAGAGCTCATCTGTGCCATTACTATAAATTATCATCACAATTTAAAATCAAGTCATTTGCAATCAATATAAATCACTAATTTAGGGCATTTATTCAATAACTCCCTTACACAACTGAAGCTTTAGCATCAAGAACTGCCTTTAGTAGCCAAAACTGCAAAACATACCAGAGGGATTTAGAACAGATGATTAACACAACGTAACAGTACCTTTTATTCTCACCTGCTGGTATCACTCCGAGAGGAAGCGGTGCTCTGACAGGCTTTGATACACAGTCTGTGCCTTTTCCAGCATCTAGCTGGGCTCTAAGCAGTAACCCATGAACAAYTTCACTGACAGATCCATCTCCACCWACACAAACCACCCTGTCAYGAAACAAAAATGCCCAAGAGTTCAAAATCTTCTATAAGCTGTACAAACAAGTGGAAGGCAGCTATGTCATACCATTTCAAAAAGCTAAAAAATATTCTTTCTTTAACAACAAGCTTGGGTTTCACTGCCAGATCAGGGAGTGTTACCTGAATGTTTCTTAAGCATTCCTATGTCTGCTTTCTATCTGAGTAGCAGTAAACATATTTAACAACTTGAAAAGTTGTTCTACCTCATCACACATAATGCACATAAACTGATCAGATGAAAGAACCAAACACATGTTTAAGTGTCTCAGTGGAAAAGCTCTTTACATCCTTCAATGCTGACCCATACAAATGTTCTGATGCCTTTTAACTGTCATTATGATAACAACTCACCAAATATTACAACTGAATTAAAAAAATACAAACTGGAAACCAGCTATTTTCACACACTATGCAGGCATTTCAGGGATTTAGCAAGGTCTAAAACCCTAGTGCCAGCAATCCTTTGCACAAAGGTACTTAATCACTGCTTCTGGAGCACATAATTAAACTCCCACCTGCTGTGGCTATAGAGACGAATGCATTTGCCTRTAAAAGCTCTGTTACAGCAAACCTTTTCTTCCCTTGTTGTTGTTTATTTAAGTACATATTACAGCAATTCTCCAAATTAGTAAACATATTTTAATGATAAGAATAGTAATAATACATTCCATGCATTTATGCTAGAAGCATCACTTTAGGAGGCGTTCACTTAAATTGTATTTGTTTCATATATCTGTATGAATGCAGTTGTGAAACTGTGTCCAATAATTCCACCAGGTAAAATGGGTCAGAACTTTATAAGAAAAAACTCATGCTATTATTAATATTATTAAATGTTTAAATTCAATTACCTCATCTCCTTTAACGTTTTTCTTCAGTTCCTATTATTATTATTTCCAAGCTGATTTTTCATCTCTAATTTTTAGGAATGCTTCCCCTATTAATTAAATATTGCCACATTAAATAAAAAATACAATACATAGCTTGAAGAATAGAATATAAAAGTTTGAAGCACATTTTCTTCCTGCTTGCAATCAGTAGTCATCATCTGTCTTTTGACTCATTTTTTGTTTATTCCCAGGCTTAAAATTTTCTGTCACAGTAACAAAACCAATAAATCTTTAAAGTCTGATAAATTGTATACCCAGAAAGACTTGTGTGGATTGTCTTCTGGCTATTAAAAMTTTTGAAAACAGATGTATTTTCTTTTGATTTTGGAGAGCTGTGTAGATGAAGAGTCCAASGAATAACACGAAAATGGTGCTAATTTTGATTTTTATTATTTTAGCATTAATCATCAAAGGTTGCCTTTTTGGCTGGAAACAGAGACACCATCAGGGACCTGGGATTCCAATGCTAATCAGTGACAACCTGCTACGCATGAGGAGTACAAAATCTTGAGCAAACAAATTTTACTTAAACTTTGAGGAAGGCTTCTGAGATGAAGAAACATCTATTTAACCATCAAATGCAACTTGATYAATCAACTCTTCACTAAGATCTGACTAACCCAGGCGACTCTAAATATCCTAAATATTTTAGGCTCCTGACTAGGGAATAAATCCATGCATGGACATTGTCTATTTCTGTCCCTGTACAAACAGGAAGACCCAGCTGAGATAGCAGCATCACAAATGCAGTCTCTCTGTTTGTCACCAAAGCTCAGCCACAAGTCAGGGGGAAAAAGTATGCTGCCAAATTGAACAAGTGCCTGAATTTTCACTGTGCCTAAAAAAAAAAGTGGATAGCAAAAACGTTAGAGTACACAAGACATATGCCTATGGTCTTTCAAAATAGAATAACTGGGGAAATCTGAGAAAATAAATTATATATCTGAACAAACAGCTTGGACAAAGAATTAACACATAGGAGTGTTGCTCACAGAAAGMACTGAGTTATAAACTTCCAGTTTACTGCTGCAAACCATAAGCTTCAGTTTACTTCATTTGCTRTTAACATGTAAGGAACCATAACCCTCCTAGAGAGAAAACCAAATGCAGAAATTGTGTGCTGCTCTACTGCTTACAGTGTGAAAAATTAATAAAAAAGAACCAGTTGTCTTGCCATGTSTACATTTTTACTTGAATGGTGAACCTTATAATCATAATCACTAACCAACTTACCCATCAAATGCCTGGAGATCACATTCTTTAAGTACTGAGAGAGCATGTCCTTCATATTCAGTTACTGTGGAAAACATCAATTATCAGCAGATTAGATCATTTTAAAGGGTTTTAAATTATTTTGCCCATCCAACATAAGGAACACAGAGCAATTAAATTCAGATTATTTTTTAAATCATTAATACACTAAAAGTATGACAAGTTATATTTTGCAGTTATGCTAGCTAACAGCCCAAACATTAAAATTCAGCTGCTATCAGATACACAGCTATTTAGTGCATTTAAATTCAGATAATTCAAGATGTTTGTTGCATCAAAATGCAAGTTTTAGCACTGACACAGTTGGTAAACTTCAGGAAAATAAGCACACCCTCAGTTAAGACTGAATTACTTCAGGATCAATCAAATTTAATTGCCTTTGTGTTAGGATATGCAAATTGATAAATCAAAAATAAGAGGAGTTAGACACAGAAGTATGAAATCAAGCCAAATACCAGTGACAACAGAATATAACACACAGAGGAAGGTGGCACAAGTATACACCAGAGTTCATAGCCTCTGGAGGAAATGAATCTGTCACTCCACATTGATGTCTCTGTGTTTGCTGATACCCTATATAGTACTGTAAATGCCAGCGAAGACAGGATAAACTGGCATACTACAGATGGCACAAAGCATCATAACTACATTTAGCATTTTCTAGGGCAGCTTTGCCAGAAGAGACAGCTCAGCTGCAGCCACCCATCAAAGATTTTTGCTGACTGACATGACACTTGCAGATGGATTTTTTGTGTAAGAATGTGCATCATTATATGCAAAATTACATTAATCTTTCATGCTTGTCTGTCCCTGGTGCTTGCATAGTTCAAGGCTTTTCTCCAGTGTTCCTAAACACAGCTAAAATTATTAGTCTTGGTGTCTAAAACAATCATTCCATATCTGTACCTGTTCCAACAATATTTCTACAGACTGTTCAAATGCTGCTTACAAGAACTGAAAACACCTCTATCTCTTCCTATACACACACACACACACACACACACACTCAAGTACGTATGTAGATATAGTGAGTGTGTATCTTTTTTCCTAAAAAAATAAAAAGGAAGACAAAATCAAAACAAAAGTGACACAATTTTTACACTTCATACTAAAAAACAGTATATGTTGCCTATAACTTTGAAAGTCCCCAATCAGTATCAGCAAAGTTCTAATGCTTGGTGTTTTGAAAATTCTTAATTAAAAACTAGAGTTGTTTTGATTATATCAAAACAGAAACACTATAATAACTTCTGGGAATCATTTACAGAATTTACTTCCATGCAGGGCCTCTCTGGAATATCRAAGCACATTTAAGCTGCCATATTCAGCTTTGCATTACCAATGGAAGCCATGCTTTTATCAGTATCTGTAGGCTGTGTGAAGAATGGCCATAAAACTGTGCATCATGCAAAAATGCACAGGGGTTCAAATATCTTATCATTGCTTAGCTGTGAAACTCTTCCCATGAAAACACAGAGTTGGTTACCAGGTTACATGCCTTTGTAAATGAACACGATGACATTTAGAAAGTTATGAGTACGGACTAATTAAAATGGAACAGTAAATAAGATTTATTTTGCAACAGAAAGCATGCTCAGTGCTTTCCCAATGTAATGTAAGTTATGCTTACTATTACCAAATTAATTCACTCAAAGAACAAGGATGTGAAAATAAAGAGGGCTCATGCCTACAGAGAAATCAATAAAGGCAGTAAAAATGAGYAATGTTAGCCAGATTAACTCCATCTCTCTGAATCTAATAGCTTAAATTTAGAAATTATGTAGAAGAACTGCTCAAGGCTTAAGATTGGGGAATTCCAAGAAAAGAAATTTCAAATTTGATGAGAGAATTATAGAGGATCCATTTTGACACATCTTTACAACAAGGCAACTAAAAAATGGAGTTTCAGAAAAATTTTGGGAGAACATGCAGAAAATAATTCAAGTAGGAAAAAAACCTGGAAGCATCCAACACAGGCATTAAAAGACCATATTTAAGAAGTTTTCTGCAGCCTTGACAATCTCCAGAGGGGCATGTATAAATCATTCTGATAGCTGGAAAAAGCTATGTGTTTGAATATTTGGCACTGTTCCAATTCRGAGGGAAAATCAACCAACCAAAAAAAACCCTACTTGTTATATTTTGGTAATAGAAAAAAAGCTTCTTCCATTATCTGAGAAGGATCCAGGTTACATATTTGACCAAAATATTATCACAACAATATTATTTCATGATTATTTGACCATTTCTAATGCATAAAGCTTTTATTTTTCAAGAAAGTTTTGCTCTTAAGGGTCAGGTAACAGCACCCTGAAGGAAGGACACCAGAGGTGCAGCTCATTTGARCAGTCAAAGGAACTCCAAAAACACCTTAAAAAAACCAAACACCAAACACAAACACCAAAAACACCTCCTCACACCGCAAACAAGAACTAAGGGCTTGGCCTCTGCATATAGGAAAAGCAAAATACAATCAGTTCAACACTTCAAAACAGGGCATGCTTTCATGTGACACCTCAATACACTGGCACTCCTGTCACAAAACTAGGAAAAGAAGTGAGACAAGCTAGGATTCTGCCAGGGTTTCCTCTATTTATTTTTCTTTAATTGTGTGTAAGATTTTGCAAGGTTCTAATATATTTCTCAAATACTACCTCCAATTATCACTGTTTGCCAGTACTGCAGGTATCTCAACTCAGTGGAGTCAGCTTTTGTAGAACTCAATTTTTGGAAGATTCACTGTTCATATCCTAGCAGCCACATCCCAGCTGCAACATAAATGATTGCCCAATTCTTCAAAGAGGCCAGATTCGAGCTATTGTTTCACCTTAGCTACAGCTAAAAGTATTGCTTCAGTTTAAATTTGCTAAGTCACTTTTTCTAGTGCACTAAGCACTTCAGAGATTTGCTTACTGCATGTAACAAAAATAACTCAAAAACCCAACAAAACAAAATCCACTCCGTAAGACCTTCGGTTCTTTTTACCAAAATTAATACAGCTGTAGCATATAAAGTAATTTGTCATGAAAAATAAAAGGAAAAACCCCCCAAAATGCAAAAATAATTAGAAAAATTAAATGGTACTTCAGCACTCACTTGTTTACATACATATCTTTAGATGGCTGTACGTCCTTGTGTAGGAGAGAATAAACAYGAGAAGTTTATTCCAAGAGAAGTTACAATGAAGAACAAGATCTGGAAAGTCTGATCAAAGAGGAAGCAAAAATTGCTACCAGTATACAAGATTGGCTGAGGGGAACTCTGTCATTCAGCTTTTCACAGTCAGTCCCTGATGGCCTGRGGTGTTTTTAGTAACCTGCAAATTYTGCATTTTGTATGCACTAGAAGCCACTTCAGAGGTTGAAATTTGCAATAAAATTTTGTGCTCAATGAATTTTAAGCTATAAATATGTGTAAATGTAAAAGTCTAAATGTAAACTACCTTCAGTGCAAAACTCATACAAAAGCCTTGACAATTTCAGTATCTAACACACCTTTCTATGCCACTAGTTATGTACATAATGGCCATGTTCCAAAAAAGCAGGAACAACAAGACGCACACTCCAACCTCATCAAACCCAAAACGCTTATGGGAGGGAAAAAAACTCAGTCAAATTTACTTGAAATAAATTGCTTCATTTTATTAGAATATGGACCCAGTGGATAGGGCTTCCACTCAGCACCCACCACCACCCTGGTATTTTTCAATGCATAGTTCTTAGTTATTTAATTCTCTACCAGCATTGAAAACTGCAATGTAGTTTTSTCTTTTTGCCTGTAGGAGGAGTGTTAGGCAGCTAATAAGCACAATAGTATTTCAACATTGACAAAATAATCTTAATTAAAGGATAAACCACTCAAAATTTTTCTGGCTCAAAGCTGAATTTTCCTGTTCAAATTTAAAATGCAAATAATTGAAAAATAAACTTAAAACTGTTTTTATTCCACTAGCAAAAATATTTTTAAAACCTTTACAAATTACATTCACAGCTTGCATCAGAAGTTATTTTAAAAATTGTGACCAAACAAGGCTAAGTTCACCATAATGCAGGAACAACTCTGAGCAAGCATTTATAAGACTGCCAGATACTAAATTTTCCTAAAAAATGCTTCTTTAAAAAATACCAACAATACATTACTAGTATTGATTGCTATGGGTGAAAAATACTGAATCCATAACAGAATTACTAAAACTTTTTTTGACAAAATCAAAATACATTGTGTTGTATTAACCAGAGTTCCAAATGCACTACTTGCAGTCAAAGGCAAAGAGGATTAGCAGTAAATTCAAATTGTCTCCTATGCCTAAATATCAGTTTCACAAAGGGTTAAGCCATGCTTTTGAAGCAACTTACCTGTGACATCAGTTTTTATGTCAGCAAGGTTAAAAAGAGGCGCAACTTTTTCATAATAAACATGWGCAGCTTCTCTTTTGTGGCTGCTTGGATTAACAAACACTTTCAAGGATTTTGGTCTGTTTTGAAAGCCTAAAAAGAAAACACAAAACATTTACGATTACATACAACCTGACATTTTTTTAATAACTTAAATGAATTTTTAATATTAGAACTAGTATAATACTTTACCAGGATAAGAAAATTACAGTCTAAAAAAGTCTCAATTTCTTTTTGCATATGCACTACTTATGTTTAAATTACAGTATTGATTACTTTTGTGTACACAACTAATAAACAGTTGTAAGAACCAGAAAAAAGGTGTATATCCCATAACCTAGCTAGGCCCTGATTCAGGAACAGGGTGGGTGTGAAGTTCAAAGTTTGGGCACCAAAAAAAGAAACTAAATGCAAACATAAAACCACAAAAAAAATCTTTTGGAATTTAAAGACATACTCCCAGCAGGCACATGAAAGTAACACCCAACAAAACTGACAGCTCAATCCAATGCTTTTCTTTTCTGAGAGTGCAAATCAAACCATGCAAAGGAAATTTTCTCATTGTGAAAGAGGTGAAATCAACTTACTTTTTCAGAGAGATAAAATATTGCATTTACAGAATTCTTTTTCACAAACAAGSCTTTTGAGCAGAGATGKTACACTACGGAAGTGGTTTTGTTTGTACCAAATAATKGCMAACTRACATGCAAGGATGACAAAATTTACTACTTTACCATTCCTGATGTGCACTGGACACTTTAGAACACACCAAAAGAGCGAGTTTAATGAAAGCATATCCAGTAACAGCCAAAGATTAAACTTTCACACAAAATTATTGCGAAGCTTATTTGAAGTGTTTTTAAATAATAATCTTTTAATTGYCTTTAAACGACATCTCTGAATGAATCAATGTCAGTGACTATGCCGTGCAACTGATCCCCGTCTGGCAGCCTTTTGGTGCTCCCTAACTGGTGTTCTGCCATTGTTTGCTCCGTTTGAAACAAACCAACAGCCGAAAGCAGGAAGGCCAACTGTTCCCCCAGTGCTAACAAATGTGCTAATATGCACTAGTTTAAACTTGATCTATCAAGTGAATCAGTGAACCATGAAGGGTGGTGGGTCAATCAGGGTGTTCTGGAAACAAAGGCTGCGAGGGCAGCAGGGACGCTGTGCTCAGACATACATCTGTGCTGCTTTCAGGCCTTGGCCCTAGCAAAATGGGTTTATGTTACAAAAGTTAAGAGCCTAGCATCGTGTCATTGCCACCTACATTTATAAATACTTCATCCAACATTAGGAATATTATACATGAGAAAAACGAACAACACGGGATGGATTTGTTAATGTAACTATGGAGACACCRCKGTTAATATTAACTAACCCAAGTTAATGTTTAACATTAATGGTTTAATTAAAACTTCATGCATGAAGTTTCAGGCAATCRTATCAAATCCCAGTGTGATAGATATGACAGTGCAGTAGATAAAAACAAAATGCACTTTGCACTTTTTCTGCTACTTTATCATTTATTCCTAACCATATTTACTGACTTTGGTTAGTTTATAGAGTTTTTAAGTAAAGCTTTTTCAAATCAACTGTCTTGTTAAAAAAAAATAAATTCAAATGGATGAGTATTGACAACTATGCATTTTCTCGCATTTCTGAGCCTGCCTCAACCTCTTAAGAATGACTGTGTATTTGCATGTACAGAGGGTTTTAGATTGAACAGTGAATCCTACTGACACAGTGTCCCCACACACCATGCCCCTAAGTCCTGTACAAAAAGATATGATGCAGAAATGGAAAGCACTGAGAGTGAGGTGTGCACCAGGACTGACATAAGATAACAGCACACAAGACTCCGTCTGAGCTGCCCTTTGGGGCTCTGCAGCAGCCAGCCCAGAGCCAAGGCTCCATAGTTGCATCAAGGTGGCAGTGGCTCTCCTACATCASTTTAACACACACGTGGTGTACAGATCAGATTTCACGAACACCACATCATCCAGCAAGCTCTTCAGACCCAGCTGGCATGCACTGGAACAGCACCAACATTTGTCAGAAAATCAGAACTTAAATACGGGAATACGACAGTAAAAAAACTTTGTTACCCTGTCACACACACATGAAAAAGCATAATAGCAGTCACAGTAACTAAATTCTAGACAATTATATCTCTGTGTGCTCAATTATGCAACAACAGGCTTCATAAAAAATTATAGCCCAGTTAAACTTTAAATTGAAGTACTCAATGCAAAGTCAAAGCAACAGAGGACACTCACTATGAAGATAATAAAAATACACAGGGAAATACCATGTACAAAACATTCTTGTCAGACATAAATCACACAGTGAAAAGGAAACTGTGTACATGAAATTTCAGGGGGGAAAAAAATCTTCTTTAAAAGTTTAGAAATTTCATTAGAAAACTCCAGACAAACTTTAACTCATATCATCACTGATAAACTTTCTCTAGTTGTTCCTTAATTAATGTATATGCACAAAAATCTAAAAACTTGTCAAAGAGTAAGGTAAACAAGTAGAAATTACATTTATCTGCAGAGGAAACACAGCTGTCAGTAACATGTGCTCTCATTTGTCAGAATGTCTAAATATTACTGTCCAAATATATATACATACTATTTTGATAAATCATCTGCTTTTAATTTGCTCCAGCCCAGAAACAATAAAAAAATCCTTCAAGTAAATAATGCATCAGTTAATGAAAATTTACTTTGTGATCAGATAGATTGAGGTGGGAGGGTGGGTGGGGAAGCAATTTTTACTATTTTAGAAGGATAAAACCAGAAGTAGACAATTTGAGTTCATTAAAACAATGACTCCAGCACTAATATTGAAAAAAAAAATAAAGCTGCAGCAAAAACTATTAAAATCTATTATTGTTTCACACAGAAATATCAGTCACTGAGAAATCAACAGACCTCAACAGCATTGTGTACTTTTAGTTCAGACTTAGAATATACACATTAGTAACTGAAATTATGAGGGGTTTGTTCTGTTATTTTTATCATTTGAGTCCCGTTTATTCTTGAAGTAGAAGGCAAGGAGAAAAAATGTACTGATCAGAGATCCAAAAAAAATCTGTGTGAGCTCTGAGCTTCTGGAGAAAGACCGGAGCAGGAACTTGAAATGGCATTGCCCAGAATACTTTTTTTCAGGTTCAGGTGGCTTCCAATTACAAAGCCATAAAACAGAGGCTGCACCTCGAGGTCAAGACAACCTGAGCAAGAGATACTGCAGCTTTTTTTTACTGTGAACATATGGTATCACTGCTCCTGATAGATGGAGGGTAATCTGGGAACAAAACAGACATTTGCTCCTTATGCAAATGTCCTTGCCTTTATGGGTAGCTGGAGATCTACAGGAATCCTGGCACTTCTGCAGATTGAGATATTTCATGATAAAGTCYTCCAAAAAGGGAAAAGGGAAGGCACTTCTTAATACACATTTTCATTGGGAAAATTCAAAGCATACCATAAACAAACAATGTAAGAATGCACCATTAATAATTCATGTTGTTTCTCTAATATCTGCTTGTGAAACTTTACYAGAAGTACACCAAAAATCAGTATTCAAAGCGTTGTTATAAACACTACAGATGTACAAGATCTGAATTCCATAATCTGGAAATCATAAACTTTTAACAATTCAGCTGGAGTTCTAACAGTCTGTTACAAGCTACACAGTTTTTCTTCTGTAATAAACAAACTCGTTTGCTATAACCTGTAAACAGAGGCACATTGTGGAGCTAAATCAGAGAGTCTGGAATTGGGGAGGGGATGTCAATTTATTGGGGAGGGGATGTTATTTAAATCAAAAGTGTGCTGTATTCTGTGTCTTCCAACGAAAAAAAAAAAAAAAAAAAACCAAAAAAAAACCCACCAAAAACCAACTAATCCAAATAAACAAACAAACAACCCTATAATAGGTTAAACAAAGCCTTCTGAAATTGGCATTAGCCTAGGCAAGCACAGAAAGATATTTTTAAAGTAAAGAATTGCCTTCCACCACTAGTACCAATGAATTTTGTATGAAATTATACAACAGGAGTCCTACAACACCCTAAGAGCACTRCCTCCTGTGAATTTATGAAGATGAGGAAAGTCTCTCCCATTAGTCTCCCAAAGAATCTGGAGGTCTCAAGTGGAAGCTCCTAAACATCACCAGAAAGTTCCTGAAGAGTTCCCAGAAGTGCAACTATAGTAGTACCATCAGGTGTGATGCAATTTCAAGTGAAAAATCAACAAAATATATTATTTCTTTCAGAAGCAGATTTCCCAGAAGACTCTCCAGTCAGAATAAACTATTTCTTTTCAGCAGCTTCCAAAACACTTCCAAAAATAGCATCAATTTGTTTCATTTTTACAGATACATGARTCAATTACTGTCACTTTCCTAAATTTTACACTTCACCATGGAAAACTTCAGTAGTAAACATCTGCCAGAAATAACATTCATATCTGTGTCTAAATTTCCATGGGCAAAATGTTTCTAAGCTTCACTAAACCTCATGCATTGCCAATAGAAATAAATATGACATAAATCCCAATTTAATGCTTACCATTCAGAATTTCCTTCAGATGTCTAAACCACGACTGACAATGATCTTCACTCAAGTTATTTAAATGGACAGCACAGTCTGTGAGCTTATTCTCTTCTTTATTCAAGAATTTAAAAATTGTGATACCCAACAAAGTACCACCTTTTTTCTGCCCTGCAAAACGACGACGTTTCAGTTTTACTGAAAATACATCTTTCATTTCAATAATCTCCTCTTGAGACTGTAAAGCCACATTGGGATCACCTGGAAGGGAAAAAAAAGAAAAAAAAAGCATTACCAATATGACGGGGAGTAACAACTAAAAAAATATTGTTAAGGCTTTATCTCTAGCTTTACTTCTTGCATCTGTTCATGCTTGAATTGAAACTTATTGCATATTATATCCCTCAATCACCAGTCTTTTATTTTATCAACTTTGTTATGTTTCCAGCTGTACAAACAACACAATTTCAAAAATTATTCAGCTTTCTGTTAAAAAAAAAATTTAAAAATTTCACACTCTAAGAAATACTTTTTTTGTATTTGCATTCAAAACCTGAATTCTTTATTGTAAATCACTGCAAATCATAACAGTTGCATACTCCTAAATCATAGATAAGAAGGTCTGCTATGACCAAGCTGACTATACACTCAGGATATTTTTTCATTTGCTACAACCATTGCCTTCTGCTTACATCAGAAACACACCAGAAAACAGTTAAGCAAAAACAGAYGAATATATCAAAACTTTGTTACCCATCTTCAATTTAATTTTTGATTTATGAATTCAGTTCAGAAGACAAAAAAAATAGTTTCAGAAACGTTCTTGCGACAGTTCAAGATCCTCATGCCAGGGGACATTTGTGTTAGGCTAAGTGAAGGTTTTCTTGTCTTGAGGCTGTTACACACATGGATGCTGTGGCTGCAGACATTATCACTTCACTTSCAGGAGCCTTTTGGAGATTTATCAGCTGAGCCACTATGGTACAGGCTTCTCATTTTTCTGCTCTCCTGAGCTGCATTCCTATTCCTTAAAAACAAAGTCATATACACAAACTGAAGGAAAAACRTCACCGTTCCTGCAGGTATCAGATTCTTTGGACACAGAAAGCAAAATTTCCCTGCTTTCTTTGCAATTAYAGCAGATCTGATCCAGCAGACCAATAAAGGCCCCTTTGCAGGCCGAGGCAAGGAATGCTAGAAACTCAAAAACTCTCCCAAATGTAACAATAGCTCTGTCAACTGTTACTTTCTCAATAGCAAAACCCAAAACAGATTCTGTTTGATGAAAACATCACAAATTCTGTCATGCCAATGTTATGGATGCGCACCACAGAGAAGTTACAAACATTAGCCTGTCTTTCTCAAGCCAAGGAAAATGAAGGCCTATTACAGTACTTTTCATTCCTCACTACCTTTTAAGGACTGACATTTAGTCATAAGCCAGGTAATGTCTGCATTATCTTTTCACAACTATTTCAGCCAGCTACTCATTGCTAGTGTATCTTCCTCTTATTCTGTATTTATCAAATTCTTATTTGCAAATATCAAATTCTTATTTGCAAATATCTTATGCTCAGATGCATATCAAAACTTTTGATTTGTAAAATAAAACATTCATACTAGGCAAAACTAGACTTTCAAAACCAGTATTTGACTCTGGTTGTTTTACAGGAATACATTTCCATGCACCTCAAAGAAGSATATAAACTCTAGGAATGCCCAATTGTAAAAAACCATCATTGTCCAGTTTTAATTTGCAACTAGCAAGTAGGATTAGACAGCATAATTTTATTAAAGTTGTAGAGAAATCTGCATAAAATCCCAGGTATATTCTATAATTTTCATCTTCTATGCTTACCAAAAATAAGACCATGGCAAAGGCAGTAAAATTTTATAAAAAAAACTCAGATAAAGAAAATTTAAGCCATGAGCTGTATTTATAAAACATTTCTGGTGTGAGATAACAACCAAGCTTACTTTTGAAATAAAGTATTTATTGGATTAGACACTGTTTTAAACTTCAAAACCGTATTGGCTCRTTTGTATCATATTGGTTATTGCAAGCAGTTTCAGGACATTAACTGTCCTCTCACATTACTTAGAAAGATATTGGGTACCATCTGTTCTTGCAAGAGATTTAAGTATACATCTATTAGATATCATGCTATTTATTTAATTCAGTACCCACTTTCTATTCTTGTATCTTCTGGGAAAAAAAAAAAGTCAATTTAATTACAAGGAATAAAGATAATCTCTTCTACCAGGCTGCCCTGTCATCATGAAAGCAGAGAGGGAACCTAAAGTCTAAAGTAGGTTACAGGCGTTAGGGAAGAGCAAAACTAACAGCACTTAACATTCAACAAAGATCTAACAAAACCAGAATATACGGCACTTTAAAAAAAAGTTACTATAAGCCAAGGGCTTGTCCAAATCAATCTCAGCACATCTGTCTGATGTAGAGCATAAACAGGATTAGAGTTGCATTTATCTGCTTGACGCTAATTGTACTCACAGTTTCTGCACATGTCCACTTTTTTTTTTTCCAAATACCGCATGAAAAAAAGAAAAATCTGCCTGGATAGATTAATTTCTAGGAAGTTTTATGCCCCTATTTATCCTCTCACTAATTTCAAGCAGTGAGACTATCCTACATTCTTCCYATTTATGGCAGTCTAATCTCTTATTTAACAAAAAATTATGTCTAAATCAACCATGCTGAGCTAAATCAGAAGATGAGGAACTAATACACTCAAATAGAGTTTAATTGTGAATAGCAAGCAAAGTTTTAATTAGTTAACAGTGTTAAAGTAGGCTTTAAACAAATAGAAATACTTCAGGTTTTTAGTAAAATTGACAAAAACATACACRAAGAAAAAAAAGCAGCACTACTGAAAAATAGAACAGTTTTAAAGAAAATGTGGTATTAAAATATAAACACCAACAATTCAACAAGGAAACACTTTTGGACTGTTACCTTAGCACAGAGGCACAAAATTTAGAAGTGGCACTTAAGGACTCAATTTCCATAACAAATATTTGGAGTGCGTGGAAAACGGCAGAAAATACACATGAAATGTGTCTGGAAAATTCAAGTACAAGAGCTGGACACAAAACAAAGTGTGTCACACTCTGTTGGYCACAAATGCTTCCTGTGACCCTTGGCAAGGCACCTAGCCCCTCGGACTACAATGGAGAGAGAAATCTTTTACACATTTTAGGCTCTCTGTCTWTTGCACTCTCAAAGTTTACTTCCTTGGTAGTTGTTTGATACAGCTGAATGCAGCGTAACGTTACAGAAATAATTAGAATTTTTTTTAAAAATCATAAAGACTATACAAAGCAAAATTCAGCAATCAGTACTTATTAAAATGTTTTATTATAAAACAGTTCTTTATTATAAAATTGATCACAGACCATCCTACACTGTATGAACAGTACTTTCAAAATAACCATTCAGGACATTCAGTAAAGCATAACTATATTAATATAAACCCAAAAATAAAATAAATAGAATTTAAAATTAGATTAGTTTAGACAACACGCCTATAAATTTATGTTTAGGAATAGTTAATATGGTAATGTCTAATGCATATAAACCAGCACCTATTAATCCATCAGTTATTAAATCCATTTTTCCCTCATTATAAATCAGCAAAGCACAGTAAGCAGTATGCAACTGATTCATAAAACCTCTACAATTTTCAGCTACTTATTGATTAAGAAGGGCTGGCAGTGAGAAAAGCAGGTATGATCATTCTTGCCAGAAAAACTAAGGAACACTGTAAAGCTTGTCTGGCTATTTAGCACGTAATTAAAATATTCTAAATATGAGACATAAAAGCTATTTTCAAAACACATGAATTTTGAATGAATTTTATTTCAAAAAGATAAGTTATACAACACTTCTGGCAAAATTTGATGCTATGCCTCTTACTCTTCTAGCAGAGATGGCAAAATTCTACTTTCTGCTTGCCAGAAGTATCAAACATTAAGTTGAGGAGAAGGTGGTACAGCAAGGGCCAGGCTGGAGAGGGGCTGATTTYTGTCTGAAGATTATACTCTGTTCCTTTTAAATGGTGCTGCAGGAAAAGCGTAACACAAGCAGGGCCCTAACCTAGAAACACATTTCTCAGACTGTGTGCAATGACCTGCTTGGGAGCAGCAAGGAGCTCAGAAAGTACAAGGGACTGAAGAGATGCATCTCAGTTTCTCCAGAGCTGGAGAGTAAAAGCAGGGTGCAGCCACTAACTTTACCTTTTAATGGCAGCTATTCACTCACAGCAGCAGCTGTATTCCTTCAGGGCAGAAAACTGAGCTTAAAAACATCTGACAGGGATAAAACCCATTTTCATTCTCCTTCTCCAGAGAATCTTAGGCTGAAGTGATGTATTTTGCCAAGCAAATGCAATACCTTGCTGCTAATCCCTCTCCCAGCACAAASAGCCACCCTCAACTCCCCTGCCATGACTGTGCAGTCCAACCTTTTTCCTGAAGTCTGGCTCTGGGAAAAACCCAGCTGAGCCAAAGCAACTCCCTAAAGTAACAGAGATTGCCCATTTTTCTTTTTCTCCCCAGCTTAGTCTTCTGACAAGTTCTTCAGTATAATCARTTCAACACAAGTCCTATAAAACCAGAGCTTATAAAGTGGTAAGAAAATTCACAGCAGGGAAGAAGGAAGAGCTGGAAGCGTCTCCTTTCATCAGCAGGAAGCCAACATGGTCTGAGCCAACCTACTATGCATTTTCACTTCCAATTGCTACCTCCCCAAAAGTCACACAGATCAAGAGTCAGTAAGAACTGGAAAAGATGCACAATGGCTTCTTTTAATTCTTTAGAGCTCTAGTGACATCTTATACATTAAAAAAATTGTCTCAAAATGAAACTTCACTTTACGAAACTATTATGACACCTTCAGTTACATTTCACTGGACAAGGAGTTATTCACTATTCTAGCTAAAAGAAGCTGTCTTATTTTAAACTTCCATCACAGACAGCTACCTCTAAAAGGAATAGTTTTATGAAGAATAATAATAAAAAAAAATAACTGTAATGAAATTGCACTTCAGATTTCAATTTTTCAACACAGTACTAGCAAAAAACCCCAAATGTCCCATAATTTCCCAGTGCAAATCGCAGTCACGAGATAAAAACTTACATTATGTAACAGAACAATTTCACTTACTTTTAACAATTTACTATATTCAGCATGGGCAAACCCATCTAAAACTGCAACCTCCTACCTTTCACCTTCCCCTTGTCTC